TTTAGAGAAGATCGAAAAATCATCATCGATCAAGGCATGCATCTCTGAGTGGATTGCGAGTGACAGCAGAGGAGCGTGCCCTCACGTACCGTCGAAGATGCAGAATATTCGGAACATGAGGTTCAGTAAGCCATATCCGTACCCAGTGCTCGTGCCTGTGCATACCGATTTCGAGCCCTGCATGAACAAATCTCAAAAATATACCTTCCAAGAGTTCCGAGTCAACGAGCCACACAAGCTTCCATTCCTCGTGGACAATGACGTCGTCGCCTTCGGATTCGATACGGAAGTTCCTTCCTCCGGATTTCGAGGCCACGTGCTGAACGGATTTAGCCTGAGCATCATGAGTCTCCTCGGAGCATCGATCTGGCTCCTGAGCGACACATCGTTCAGCGAGTCCTTCCTTGCCCTCGTCTGTGGACTTTCGACATCGGAGGGATGTTGTCGGAAAATGAAAAACCGCGTGGCGATGGCACTGTTCACGTGGGTGCTGGCGAACATGTTCTTCACGCTGATCCTCGTCGACGATATGACTTCGGTCATCAGTGCACCGAATGGGGCGCGGCTCGCACGAATTCTAGATTGCACGGATGAAGGACTCTCGAGCAATGTCTATGATCCTTCGAAGTCGGCCGAACTCCTCAGGAATTTTACCGTACTTCCGACGTTCGCTTTATGGAATGCCTTCACGGACGTATTCCGTCGTCGGAAACTACGATCGATCGAGACGATTGTTTGCGGCTCGCCCTTCGAGGTCGATCAGATCCGAAGTTTCTTCAGCTTCGATAACATGTATCGCACACAACTGCAGCATACCTATCGACGATCGAGTTTCTTCCCTGAAGCGCTCGGCCGCTTCAAGACCTTGACCACGGCAGGCATCGTGACCGTTAGAGTCCTTATCTCGAACGTGGATACTGCCGAGTGGAACGAATACGCCTACATAATGCTCAGATACGACCTCAATAGCGCCCCCGACCGGAAAGCAGAACGTGTGCTTTCTCAACACGCAAAATCGCGCATCGCGAGATCGTTCAAATGTTGTGGTCCGCAGAGCGAGGCGAACAAAAAGATACTCCAAGGTTTTTTCGACTCGGATTCGGATCCGCTGGATCGGAAGAGAGGCGGAAGCGATTTTCCGCTCACGATCCTCTCGACAGCCTCACTCTCTGCAACGATCTGCTTTCTCGGTGAACTTCTAATTCATTCGCTGTCTCGTTGTCGGAACAAGATTTCGCGCTTCCGTTCATTACGAGCTTCGAGCTGTTGCAAGTTCTGGCGTCGGGAGGACTTCAAGAGACCTCCTCCGGTCACGTCGCGGAGAGGTCCACGGCTGTTCACGCGACGTAGGCTCAAGTGATTTCGTCATCATCACCCTGGAGCTTCACATTTCGACTCGAGTTCATAGATTCCCGCAAGGATACGTTTGGCTTGTTCGGGGTTGGCCGTATGTTCACGCATCCATTGCATGTCAGACCGGATCCAAATTAAAAGTTATCAATGGGACTGGGAAGTCTGAGATTCTCCATCTGAGTCCTCTCCATCTGAACCTAGTCCGGGTAGCCTCGCGGGGACCCAGAATTCCTCAGCTTCCCTGAATCTTTCCCGTTCGTAGCAAGAATGACGAGCCCTTTGAAAGGGAGCAGGGACCGCTTTCTTAACAAGGATAGGTATCGTAGGGGGCACATCAATAATCGGGTGGGATTTTCAGCCTCGCGTTCTAAGTGAATATATCCGTGAATACACACGTTTCTTTCCCCCATCGGACACACGGACACAGATGGATCAGACATTTCACAGCACATAACTCGAGTACGGGTCTCTGGGATTCTGCAGAGCGCTGATGGCAGCTCCATGGATCCAATTAACTTTCACGCCATTGAACTGGTCGACGAACTGCGGACGAGAAGGAATCTCACAGGAATCGCACGAATCATAAAATTGAGCTGAATAGCGAGAGAGCTTTCGCAGCGTCCAGACGTGTGGTGCATATCACCGAAAACTTACCGAGATTTCCATGGGTAGCTTCTCATTGGAGTAGGCTTCGACTAAGGCATACACTAGAGCTGTTATCGCGCAATCGAGTTCGAAGCCGCGCTTAGGTGTTTCCCGGCAAACTGAGAAATGAATGAGTTTCATAATCAGGGCGACTACTCTCTCCGACCGTTCAGAGTTTTCAGCACTCACATTTCGTCGCCTTATACTTCAAGCGCCTGATATTGTGAATCCCTACGAGACCATTCCTCCGGGCCACATCGAAGAAGTCATTGAGGAAAAAAGATTTCCGAACAAAGCCTGCGGGCTTGCTCGCGATCAGGCGCGGAATAACAGAACGCTCGAAAGCGGACCTGCAGAAATCGAAAATTTCGACTTTCTCCTGTTTTCCTGAGTTCCCATGAAATTCTTGGGAGCATGAGGAGGCCGTCAGCCAAACACCGGAGTCTTCCTCATCGATGGCCCAGACGAGGAGACGTTTGACACCGCGTTCCTCATCGCAAACCCCCATCAGAGGAGGGGTGCATGTCGCGACGTAAAATGCTATTCGAATTTGACCGTCTTCGAGATCGAAAACAGCAGCTTTCTCGCCAAGGTTCGAGGCTTTCTCAACACTCTTCCAAACCAACTCTGCTGAAAATCGTGACAAGTGATGAGGTTATTTCGACCGGTATCCGAGCGCTCCCACGAGCTTGGCGTAATATAAGTGAGGAACAGAATCTCACACACCGTAAATCTTCTAAGCGACGGACACCCCGACGAATGTCGATTTCAGAGCTCCCTATAATCGCGCCGTCACGAGCTATTCTAGTCATCTAAGTTTCATCTTGGAAGCCCATTCTCTAATCTATGAAGAGGCCGTCAGCCAAACACAATGATGGACGGCTCTGAAGTCGACATCGGGGGTGCCAGTCTGTCAGAAAATTAAGGGTAGTCAATGTGCGATCGTCTACGCCTACATCAACGCGGACAGACCTCTTCTGGAATGGTCTCTTTCGAATATCAGATCCTTCGGATAAGCGAATTTCGTATTTCCGAATACTGTTGAGATGTTTCTGAGGAGCTCTCGCTCGACTCTGAGAACACTGTAGAATCGTAGGGGGACCTCTCCATGAAGATTTTCCGGGATCTTTTTTGCGGCGCTCTTCAGACGAGATCTGCTCGGATGGAGAATTTCCCGCGTGGGTGATCCTCTCAATGCCCACTTCTGGGAGATCTCATGGTATATTCTGTATAATCATGGGGAAAATTGCAACGCCTCCACTAACTTCAGATCGTCAATGGTGACCCATTCCCTCTCTTCGAGTATCGAGAACATAAACTTCCCTGATTGTCTGCCGAAAGTGAATTCGTGCAAGACGTTGCGATCGGGCAGCATGGTCGAAATCAGGACGTAGCACCTGCCCTGATGAATCTTGCTCACTCAGGAGCGAACACACTAGGTCGAATACAGCGGAACGGCAAATCGAACGACACTTACAAATCGTGTTTGGATGATGCAGCTATCAATAAGCAGAGTAGCAGGAGCGCTGCTACGATCAAGCTTACTACCACATAGGGTTTCTTCTTCTTCCCGCTTTTCATAGCCGAGAGGAGTTTGGTACCCAGGGCTTCTTTTCTGAATACCGAGAATCTTGACAGTCGGAAGTCAACCGTCTTCTCGGGGCTCAGCCCCACGCCGAATGTGAAGATCGAGCTAGTTCTCGAAGTATCATCCTCACTGTCTCGTCTGAGCGCCGTTCTGCTGGCGACCGAGACGTGATTCGTCTTTTTACCGCATTGATGGTTCTTCATGCCGATCGGGATGAGCCTGAGAGATTCTCCAACGCTACGATCTTCGTCGATATGTTATAGGCAGAGCTAGCATGAGAGAGCAGTTTCGGATTCTCTGCCGACGACAGACATAATTCCAGGACTTCGTTGCTATCATCGTGGTTGGTCGAGGCATTCCGATCTCCGGCCTTGCAGGCTCCTGGTATCTCCGGAGCTCGGGTTGTCGCTACTTGCGAGACATTCGCTCTCTTGGATCCGGGTCCCCGAACCTGTGTTCAGGAGGTTCCCAGCTAATATGAAGAAACTGCGCATGAGTTGCGCCCGTCGGCTCGCAGCCTTCGGATAATATACGAATTCAGAATCTTCCGTACAGGGTGTACGCTGCCGTCACTACTTATGGCCTCATGTACTTTTGGCTGAGATACGGAAGCATTGGAAAATTCCTGACTCATGACTTATGATTGATATGATTTATCTGCTTATTGATATGATTGACTCATGACTCCTCCCACGAAGAATTCGAGACTCGGTTGTCCGCAAATGACGAGCTAGTACCTCTCATTAAGGTACGGTCTAAACAGCGGAATCAAACCACCGGCGAAGTTCATCGAAGGTCAATTCTGCTTCGAGGTCCTCTCCATCTCATCCCATCATGGATGAATTTAACCCTTACTAGTAGGATAGACGGATGAGATTCACCTCGCGGATTGCGGTGGAAACCGCCAGCAATCCCAGGCTCAAGTTAGCTCCGTGACGGATGATCACAAGATGGTCCAATCTCTAGATGCGGCAGCTTATCTGCCCGGTCTTCGCAAATAATTTATACGTGGACTCCGCTAAATGGGACCACATCGGATGATGAGCGCTTGGTCCGACTGAGCGGAGTTCTTTTGGCTGGGAAACCTTATCCGGGATCCGGATTCTGGTCCGATTGAGCAATGGGTGTGATTATCCGGTGGTCCGGATAAGCGGCGTTCACAGTATTAGAAGTTCTCTCAGGGACCATCTCATTCTACGAGCCGTGAGAGCGAGCTTTTGATCTGACATGAGCTTGATCGCTTCCTGCGATGATTGTGCTGCAGCGCTCCCTGGAACAACGCTTCTCCACCTGTCTCGCCCGAGGGTAGCCCTGGATCAGTTTTCAATGCGGAATGTCGGCTCTCGTGAGGAGTCACGCGAGCCTAGAGCGGAATTTTTTTCAAACTTTCGCGGTACGCGCATCTCGAGTTTGTCGCAGAATCCGCGAGAGGGAGCTGGCCCGGCACCAGATTCGAAAAACAAGATTGACGTGTACTTCAGCAAACATTCTTCTGATGAAATAGCTCCTACACCGTGAGTTGCCTCGGGCTCCTTGTCAGCACTGCCTCATTCCTCGCTGCGATACGGACTCGTTCCTGGCATTCAGACTGAGCTCGTGCCTCAATTGTGCTTCCAGAATGAAGAGTCCTAGGTGAGTCGGAGAACAGTGGAGGCGATCAGCTGACGACTTCTTATTAAAATCCCCTCGTCGCCTTGTATGCTACCGCGCTCCGTATTTCAAGGCCGATGGAGCGACTCAACAGAAAATTGTATCACCGAAACGGTGACGTTTCCAACCTCTGGAGTCTGACTACTGAGAGTACCGCGAGGTTGACACTCCGTCCCATCGACGTTTTCAGGTTCACCATAGGACTCTGCGTTGCGTGGATCTTCGTTTCTGTAGTTTCGGCTGATACCAAAGCCGTAGTCAGCGTTGTACAAAAAGAAAGTCAAAATCATGACCGAACAGACCAGTCGGGTGATGGTGAGTATACGTACGGGAGGTGATATCTTGCTTTACGCGCGCGCTTCTCTGTTGAATCCTGACTGAAGGTCCATTTCCTCCTCCTAGTCCAACCCACGAAGATATTCAAGCCGGAAAAACACTGGAAGAAAGTTCAGCCCGATGAAGCGATCCCTAAAGGCTTGCATGTCCGCATCAATATGCAGACCGGAGAGAAAGAAGCCAAACTTCTCGACGAGACAGAGAACTCGGCCGATAGCAGGAAACTCACGCCGGAGCAGCTCAAAGTCTACGTGAAAAACGTGAAGAACGAGGCCGACAAATTAAAAGAGGTAGAATTTGCCGGAACTACCTGATTAGATGTTGCTCCAATGCAATCAATGCTCAAAATTCATCTCTGATTCCTGCAGAAACTTAGAGAGAGAAAAGTTCGAAATTCAAGTCGAGTTGTCGAGGTTGGTCCTGAGAGCCCGAAGCTTCAGTGGTACTTGGGTTCGTGTGGGATTTCGGGTCGAACTTTGTATGTTCTAACTTGCAGACAGATACCTCGCAATTCCGAGACATGGACACGATCCGCAAGGAATTCGAGGAGCTCGATTTGAAACCCGTGAAATCCGATAGTCATACAATCCAGGAACTGTTGTCCATGTTCAGGTTCGTCAAAGATGCACATCAGCTAGAAAACATCTCCCTTATGGTTCGGAATCCAGCATCGAAGGCTCGTCGAGGAGACACTTTTCGTAAGGATCACGCTCAGCGTTGGTATTTCATTCCTTGAATTCCTCACAGGAGCGAGTCGTCTTCGTCTGGCGATAGAATGCAGCAGCTGAAGGAGATGGAATATCTCTTGCATCAGTACGATGTCGCCAAGGATTTCGTGAAAATGGGAGGCATACGGGAGCTTCTAGTATCATTGAACGATAGCCACATTCGGGACAACGCCGCACTCGCTCTAGGAGCTGCTCTGCAAGGGTGAGTGGAGATGTGGATCAGCCAGCGATCGCTTATCCCTTTCAATCGTCATCACGATGTAGATGATGTTGGTCGAAAATGAGAGCGCCTCATCCCAGGAACCCGGAGGTGCAACGAGCGGCTCTGGCATCTCAAGGCATTCACTCGCTACTGGTCTCTCTGAACGAGGGATGCAGTTCGCATTGTGTACTCGCTCTCTCGGCGCTCTTGCGTCAGTTTCCGAAGGCCCAAACAGCGTTCCTGTCTGAGGGGGGTCCTCAGATACTGTCGAAGGTACGTCAACTTTATCTAGATCTAAATTAGAGAGACCTTGATTTCCATGAGAGATCGATCCATGTGAATTCGTATCGGTGCTTTCGATGTGAACGTTAATCATTCTCTCGCAGACATTCCGTGACTCGGGATCGAACGAGAAGACGAAAGTGAAGATCATAACACTCCTCGGAGATCTCCTTGTTGAAGGACACCACGCCAAGAGCGGCAAAGAGGGAGATGTGCTTAGATCGGCTTATTCAAAGTCAGTTTATTCTTTGAAACTTTTTTTATTCGTAATCGAGGCGAAATTATGTCCGAAGCTGGGCACACGCCCTTCGGGAAGCAGCTCCGTCCGACACGAATTTTCATCGAGCCGAGAAATACAGGGTCCTGAAGTTTGTCTCCTTTCAGAGTCATACTGGGTCCCAGCGTCGTTGATGCCGGTTTTTGTGAACTTATATCGGCGTCGCTGTCTTCACGCAACGAAGATGTCCGGGAGAAGGTTTTGAATGCTCTACATTCTCTCATCGACTATTGTAAATTCGACCTTCTGGTGCCCCAGCTCGAAAGCTTGCGCATTCATTACAAGGTGGGAGCATAGACGAATCCCTCAGAAACTCATTCGCCTAAGCACTATCCAATGCTGTCGGTGAACTTGCCTGACAGGTCGAAATCTTTCTCTCTGCAGACTCGGATGTTTGAAGACGATCCCAAACAGGCAGACGAATATTTCGAGACTCTCTATAAGCTCACCGATGATCTCGTCAAGCACATCACGGACGAATCCCACCAACACATGGAGCTGTGACTGTGAATTCTCGTGACTGCTCCGGTGCTCGTTCATCGGTGTAAAATTGTATATACCCCCGGCTGGGCCATAGGAAATAAATTATTGGATGATTGTTCTCACTCGCGACCGTCAACCGTGTCGACCGCGGATGCGACCGTGCATTGTACATGGGAAGCTATCGGGTCGCGATGCCTTTCTCTGAGCGGGGCTCAACGGAATTTTCTGACGGGCTGTCGTTTTCCTACACTCGATTCACCGGGTGGGGTCGAGTTCGCAGCGACGAATTTAGCCTGAGGGACGGAGGTCGACCATTCAGAAAATATAATACTATATACGGAATCGAAAGAGGCCATTCCCAATTTTCGAGGATGTTCGGCTTTTCAATGGAGTCCGATAGAAAGGCCGGGACTTCCACAGAATTTCAAGCTCACCTTCTGCGCTTGCACAGAAGCTTTCGCAGCGCTCTGGAACCTTTCCAACGTGGGACTCCTCCTTGAGCTCTGTGCACTATTCCCTTTGTGGGCCGCGTTCTCCCAGAACCGTCTCTTATCTTCCGTGTGATGCGCGGCGATTTTCTGCGGGGAATAAATTTTGAGAGGATCATTTGCTGAATAGCTACTCCGAGCGTGTATGCGAGCGAGGAGATAGCTCTTCCACCATCGAGACGGTGACTGCAATCAACGATTCGCCTGGGTGATCGTGCGGTCAGCATGTTTCTCCCAAACGGACTTAGCCCATTGTTCGGCACCAATTAACGAATTTTCGCAACGGATCAATCTTGGAACGCGTCGGATAGCATCAAAACAAGAAGTCGTTGGCTCGAGGATCTGCGAAGCGTAAGCTGTGCATCGCGAGGCGGCCTTAGACAGAAGAGCACCAGAAAGTTCCACTTGATTGAGCAGGCCGGTTCTCCGTAGGCTACACGTACTCTCGCAATACCAACGCATCGGCGTTGAAATAATGACAAGCGACTGTTACTGATCACTTCCAAGTATCCGAGCCTTCGCTCATAGCTTCTTACGGCAGTGATACGGCAATGCAGGAGACTTGGAGGCATCGAGCACTGACTCTATGATCGATACGTGTAGAGCTTTGGGAAATTACCGTATTCTAATCTTTGAAGAATTACTTGACTTCTTGTACCTTTTGCTCCTCCTGAGGATGGTTGCCTGATCCGTTGAGCTTCAGCGTCACAGGCCGCACCACTGGCATCGACACGGAGAGAACTTGACGTACTTCCTCGCTGGGTCTCTTTTCTTGAACTTTTACGTCGAGGTTCGTCGATGAGTGCATAGCGAGCTCGAATGGGTTCTCTTGGAGATCTTCGACAGGTGTGATCACAATCCGAGGACTCGTCGGACTCCCTAGATTGTTATCATCTTCGATATCAGACGTGGATTGATCCAAGCGAGATAAACTCTCTGAACGAAGGCTGCTGGCGATGCCACTCGATCTCGACGCGATTCTCAAATCGAATGCTGGGGTTTCATCGTCGAAGGTCATGCTCCCGACGAAGGTTTTAGTAATGAGCTCAGACTCGAGCGCCACCGGGGAAGCTGGCCGAGGAGAGATATTGCTACATTTTTTGGAAATACTCTCTATCGGGGCCAATTCAAAAGGCTTGGGCTCACTTGACGTTTTTGCCGACTCTAGCTTGGCTTTGATTTCGGATACCGATGCGCGTCTCTTCCTCGGAGGATTATTCTCAGCTTCGAACTTCGCATCCACCGTGAGACTCACGGCACTTTTCTGGTTTTTCGAGAACTTCGTAGACTCGAGTGGGGTCTTGGCGAGAGTGCTACTGCTCTTCAATAAATTCTTCAAATCATCGAGCTCTCGAGCCAGCAAATCGCCCCTGTCGGTGCGAACTCGCTCCTGCTCCTCGTCTTTGAAGTCGTCACTCCGCGGATCCCGGCTCCGCCGGAAGTTCTCGAAGTCGGCACTGAGATCCGGCTGAGTCATCGACCGCTTCATTCGACTTCTGCCCAGGGTTTTGTTCTTGAGGAACTCCACAACTTCCGACATCAATTGAGTCTGCTGTGAAGCAGCTGGCGTATTCTGTTCGGCGGGAGCTTTCTTCGGTTCATTCCGTCGTTCCTTGAGAGCTTTGCTGATATCGATTGTAGCGAGCGATGACGGAGGAGGAGGAGGTGGCGGTGGGGGTGGAGGCGGTGCTGGGAGCGCTGCTCGGCCTGGAGCCGTCGGGGGATCGGGGACCTTAGCTCGCGCTGTACTCGACAACTCAGCATTCTCGATCCGCAGTTTCTCCACGAGCTCACGCAATTCTCTGTTGGCCTCGGTGAGCTCGAATACCTGTCGCTTCAAGTCATCAACTGAAAGTAACGTGGGCTCAGTGACCGCGCTCACGTCTGGACACGATCTCATTCTGATTCCAGAGACTGAGTAAGTGTGACTAGGGCATTCTCAAGGAGCGTTGGAACTTCAGGAATTTGAAGTCCACGAATCGGATTTTGAATAAATTATGTATGAGCAAGAGAGTTCCATCACGTCATTGATCGTGTTTTTCTCCGGATCGCTGATCCTCGAAATACGCCAAAAAATCAGACGAATTCGGTTAGAGACAAGAACCTCACCTTGCTGCGTTTGATTTATGTCGGTCGCGGTTACCACCTCCTCACGGGAGACTTCCATGGTTCCACAAACCATAGATGTCCTCACGCGGAGACTTCAACAAGAGATAAAGGAATCCGTTCCGAGAGGTCCAGAGCAGGAACTTCACACGAGAGACTAAACACTTTCGTCGGAGAAGTTAAAGAATCACGGCGAGCCCCCTCCACGCGTGATTTCCAGGAGAATATCTCTCGCCAAGTAGCCTTTGGAAACGAAGAGAGATCCGATTGGGAGTGTTAGTCAGTTACTGAGTGACTGGCTGGCGGGCTTACCGGCGAGCTAGATTGCTCTCTCGCTCGCTTTCTTCTCAGATGAGCGAGCGTGGTGCGCATACCGGGCGTCCTTACGTAAGCGAACTAACTCTCGAACCAATCCTAGAACAGTGACGACGAGCTCGCCGCTCTGCTTGCTTGGTAGGGGACCAGTGAGGTGCTCTGCTTGATTTAACTCATTTACATTAAATCGGGGCGAGGAGAATTTGTTCGAATGACGGTGGTGGCCCGACCCTTGGAAATGTGTCGACAACCTGTAAAGTTGAGAGAATGTCCGTGACGCTGAAGCCACCGACCTCTCTCGCATCAAACCGGCAGGTTTCGAAGTTGCGTTCGCTGAATTCTGGGGTTATTCCCCGCTCTCGGGTGTCTTCGGCTTGATGCCGGAATTCTTCTGAGACATGTGGATTGAAACTCGGTCGCTTAGACTTCGACTTGGACACTCGACTATATGAACCGCTAGTCGTTGTCTCTCCATACGCACCAGTCACGATAGTTGACTCAGAAACCCTCTTCGTCCGTTTTTCGGACAATGAGAACAAAAGGAAATTTTTTCCATCGAAACCTGCGACTTGCAAGGCACTTTATTTTGAAGCCTTATCGAATCGAGAAATTCGCTCGCGAGATTGGAGGACACACAACCGCTGTCCTCATTGTGCAATCGTTCCCGAGCGTGGCCATGGAGGACTATTCAGGTACGCACTGAGCTATCGACCAGGTCCTATAATTTTGCGTTCCAATCTCATCAGCGCCCAATGGAGCTTTAGGGCGCTTGAGAGACAGTACTCGCCCAGTATTTGCATCAGAATCAGAAGATTTTCCGACGGGGCTGCAGTGCTTCCATCGAGGGCAGTTGAAGACGGGTTGGGCCTGAAACGGAAGAACGTAAAGATCACATCGCCGTATGATCGATTGAGGGGATCCACCGGGGAAGAGCAAATCTCCAAGCGCGGAGCTCGAATCCTCCCTCTGCGACAATGCCCATGAGTCATTCGTCATGATGACTTTTCGTAGTTCCGCGTAGCGGACTGGTCCTCCATCATCGAATGAATGCGTAATACATAGTAATCCTTCAGATCAGAGACCACTCATATAGCGTCACGAGCGAGGATGAGGCTGTCCGGGGAAATGACCGAATGAAAACCTGCCCCCAACGGGAACGACTCAGCTCCAAAATTGGCGGGATTCCAATGTAATCACCGCCGGATGATGAATCACTAGTATTGCGAGCGAGATCGATTCGGCCGGGACGAGTAAATGTGCCATCGCGTTAGGGATTCAGCTACCAGTCTCTGTCGCCGGGTATCGATGATGATGAGCCAGAGCTCTTTCTGCGTCACTCACTTCGGTATTTTTTGGTAGAATTTACTCTGGCGAGCAGCCGCTTTAATGTACGGACGGGGTGAAGGTCCCCGGAAGAGCTTCAGGTCGGTCATGTCTTCCAGGAGTCTGTAGGAGAGAATCCGAATATCGTCACGGGGATTGTCTATGATAATGAATAATAATGTACAGATATTGACTTTTAATATTGCTTCGATTATTAGGTTATATGGAATTCCGTTGTTCTCTGGCAGGAATCCCCATCATCTATGGAGGGGCATTCTACTCCTTCATCGGACTCACCCGAGAGTATCTTTAGCATTGTCGTTTCTCAGGAGCTGCTCGAGGGTGCTCTTCATTGGAAAACTCGATGGAGTCAACTTGATCGGATGAACTCTGTTTGGAATGTTGAGATCATCAAGGAATCGTTGAACACGTCTACAATTCATCCCACGGGCGTAAAAGTCTGAAACAAGCTCAGTAATTATCGGGCAGCTTTCCTCTAGGGGAGCGAGCTCCAATCGACCGTTCCCGTCGAAGATGGGTATAATGAATGGGAAAAGAGAAATTCTCACCATCTCTTCTCTTGGCCTCGCGATGCAACAGGTATCCTGCGCTCTTCATATGTTCGAAATCTATTGCGGTAGAGTTATAGAATTCTCCTCGTCTCCGGAGATAATGAGCCCTCCTCGACAACTGGGTCAGCCAGCGTGAGATCACGAAGTATTTCTGGAACATAATTCATCGATGAGGAAAACGCCCCATGGGGATGCTTGCCGAGAACCGCCCCCGGAATATCTCACCTGATTTCCCTTGCAAGACTCAAGCTCGGCGCCCAAAGAGTTTTTGTATTCCTCACGTCCGTCTATGCCGAACAAATATTTGAGACTGACCATTATGACAGCACAAGCCTCTACTTCCATATGAGGTAGGGCGTTAATTCGTAGAAAGGGAAACTCCGTGTCCCCCGTAGCTTCCCATGTGGGCTGTAAACAATTTCGCCTCGCATATGCTGTGGCATGAGCGATGAAATCCCCTACAGAGGAAGTACTTTTTCAGAGGCTGCAGATCGGAAATCGCTCGAGGTATTCTTCCGAGAAGCGCTGAATGAATTCAGTCCGAAACGCAACGTCGACCGGCTCGGCGATACGAGGAGTTCTCGAGCCGGACTCAGATGCGGGACGAAGTCTACGACGGGTGCGGAACTCACTTGGAAGATTTAGGTCGAGACAGATCCTGGCGATGAAAAAATTCAAGTCCGGCATTTTGAGTCGCGGAATGTCCAAAAGGCCGCAAATTATCGCGCAAGACTTGAGGAGAGCTCCATCAGTGATATTCACGGGCAGTATCTCCGGTAGGAACATTGCATGGAAAATTCTCCGGCGGGCCTTCAGCAGTTCGTCTGATGCCGACTCTCGAGCGTCGAAGTAGGTCAGATGTTTCTGCCGAATGAACCTAGGCGGGGGATATGAAGGAGAGCGTCGTAAGCTTGCGGCGCCAAAAACGCCGCGGAACCTCGATGATATCGATCGTCGACAAGATCTGACCTATAGAGATCCACGGCTCCTATGTGATATACATTGGCACGTATCAAGCCGAGATAGAGGATCATCACAAGACAATGACTATGCATCTGGAGGACAGACTCGACGTAATACTCAATCACGTCCACGTCCCTCTCTGCCATGTGGGCTCGCAATTTCTGGAAAGAGCGAGATACCGATTTTTCCCGATTATTTATCGAGCTGACCGCTCGACTGGTCCATGAGGGAGTTCCACGATCTATAAACTTTCAGAATATGCCATGGTCTGCTTCATTCGAACTCACGTAAGCTATTTCTGATGTTAGGTCGACTTCCTCGATGAGCGGTCCAACCTGTTGCTGCGAAATATCAGCCGAAGCTTGGAAGGTCTCCTCGCCATTACCCTCGAGATCTTGAGGTGTATGGAGAGAGGTTCCTCCGGTGGGAATCGAGTCTTCGTGGGTGCCCATGAAGGAGAAGGAGCCCATGTCTTGCGCCTCTTCCTTGAAATGCTGTAAGGAGCAAGTAATCGTCTTATTTAGCCACGTCCTGGGCTATTGTGCGTTCTAGATATTCCCCTACCGTCAAACCCAGTTTCCCAAGAATAGAATTTATGACCTACTCGCCTTAACGTCCTCGCACTTTTGGAAGGATTCGAGGAGGCTCGTGTCCTGAGTGCCAAAACCGAACCCAGAGTGCTGCTCTATTCCTGCCGTCGTCGAAGCCTCGACATCTGTCGCGTTCGACGAAGATCGCACGGACGAAGCGGATGGGGAGATTCGACCTGCGGATCCAGTACAGGATATTCAATGAACAGAGCCCATCGAATGAGTCGTAGGAATTTCGATGATCCCGCCGAAATGCACTTCAAACCTTGATCCGCGGCCGAAAGATTACTGACGACCGCACTGAGTCCACTCGGGTCCAAACGGATGTTTTTCGGCGCCTGGTATCCGTAAAGCGGGTGCCTTTCCTTAGACTTATTGCCAGCCTTCTGACTTTTCACACTGGAGAAGTGGAGAATGGTTATACTGCGCGGAGAGCACAATTCTGTGGCGATTAAAACAAGGAAGCGAAACCCACGTTTTCGCTCGCATCGGGATATGATTATAGGTTGCTGTCTTCAAACTGAAGGATTCCTCCTCGATCCTTTTGATTGCCATTTCGTATTCTTCGTGAAGACAGTACGGTGGCAGCTTGCCGTAGGGTTCGCAATCTAGCTCTAGTACGTGTATGTATTTGAACCAAAGTTCCATGACGGCCACCTGTTGAACAGGCTCGAGCGTTGATTCACGGCGTCTTCTCCAATCTTTCGGAGATATGACAGAAGTCCGACGAGAAGAGCCGAATGTGTTACCTTGAATCTCGGCGGTGCCCCTAGGTGTAGAAGGTCGTCTACCTGCTTTCGGAGGAGATCGTTGAGAAGATTCAGCCTCCTGTAAGCTCGAAGACGCTTCGACACCCCCCTCCTTTTCGCGCGAGCACCCACGACGCGGCCCTGCGGGCCTTTATCGCCATCGTCGAAGGCAACTTCAATCTCCTCCTCAACTGCGTGCTGGAAAGCAGACAGAGGCAAAGTGTACGACGCTGAACGAACAGCGGGTCGGAGCTTATCGAGGGATTCCGTGACAATGGATTCTAGCGTCGATGTTTTTCCAATCTTACCTGACTTTGTGTATCGCAAACATTGCAGTAGTAAAATCCCGAGACCACCCTGAATTGGCCCTCGGTACCGCAGTTATCACAGGTGACCATTTCCGAACGCACGGATTCACATTCCGGCCGAACGAATTTCAGGGAGCTCGAATTCAATATCCATGTGCTCCATAAAGCACAACATCGCGCGCTCCGCGCACAACAGTTCGAAAATTGGCGCCCAGCATCCTCCACGCGGAACTACGAGCTCACAGCGACTGACAACCACGGGAATTAGGAAATCCAATTGGATATTTTCGCAGTCACGACGATGGGGAAAAATTCTCTCATTGTGGGGAAGCAGAGGGATTGGGGCGACAATAGTCTTTGCGAGGTCATGGCCCGATGGACGGCTACAGCCTTCTTCGGCTCAGACCTCAGGCTCTCGGAAACATTCGAAATTGAGCTAGGTGTAGTGTTTACGTTCAAACCGAAACCACTGATGTTTTGCAAGTCAGCTTCAAAAGAAGAACGACAGCTTCGGACCGTGTTATCCGGCAGCACCACCTTCAAATACCGGTGAGCGATTTCTTCTTCTGGAGGCTCTTTTTCTCGCATCTGCCGCGTCGTCGGGACTCTACGGGGATTCGTGTCGAGCTTCCGTGCCGTAAGCGCCAGGGTACTAATTCTCTCAGCGAAGATCTCGACACATCGGTGTTGTGTGGCTCCTCTACAACGAGATCGTTTTTTTCGTGACAACGATCCATCTCGCTCTACGTTATCAGAGGACTTCCTGAAGACCGTCGGGATAAATATGGCCGCATCGATGGCAGCTCGTCGCGAGCGGTATTCGGAGCCCGAACATCTCGATGTCGCAGTAGAATAGGCCTCAAAAAAAAAGATCGATGTCTTCACATTTCACATGAGCCGGGCCGCTGATGAGATCGCGTAAAGAACTGCTGAGAATCCAAGAGAGGACTCAAGAATTGCCCGCAGCTCCAAGCGGCCGCTGATCTTTGAATTTCGCAGGTGGCCATGAGCGGCAACGACGACGACGACGATTTCGAACGTCAACTCCGGCTCGAGCAGCAGGAAAAAGCTTCGGCGGCAGATGGTGCTTCGGATCCATACACCTATACCGATCCCACCGACGGCACCGCTTATGAGTGGGATCATGAGAAACGCGCTTGGTTTCCGAAGATCAACGAGGATTTCATCGCGATGTATCAATCGAATTACGGATACGCTCCGGCCCCGGAAGAATCGACCAGTAAAAGTACGGAACCAGAGAAACCGCCTCCGAAAGACAACAACGATGAGGTGGAAGCGAGTTCTGAGAAGGAAGAGGATTCCGAGAAACAGCCCTCTTCATCCGACGCTGCCGAAGTTGCGGGGTCTGAGATCCTCAAGAAGAAGGGTCTGAAGAACGCTCAGAAGAGACCAGCGACCTGGTTCGAGCTGGATGACGCCCACAATACGAAGGTGTACGTCAGCGGTCTCCCAACTGAAGATTTCGATGACGAGAAATTCATGGAAATGATGTCCAAATACGGAATGCTGTTCAAGGACGCCTCTGGGAAGTACCGGGCTAAACTCTACAAGGACGCCAATGGGAAGCTCAAGGGCGACGGCATCTGCACCTACCTGAAAGTTGAGAGCGTAGACCTCGCCATCCAGCTGCTGGACGGCAGTCAGATGGGGGATCAGCAAGTTCACGTCGAGAGAGCGAGATTCCAGATGAAAGGTGAATTCGATCCGTCGAAAAAGCCCAAACCGCTAATGAAGAAGGAGAAGGAGAAACTGAAGAAGAAAATTGAGAAACTCTTCGCATGGAAACCCGACAAACTCCGCGGCGAGCGCAACAAGTGGGAGAACACTGTCGTGATTCGCAACTTCTTCGAGCCACAAGAGTTCGATCAAGACCCACGCCTGGTGCTCGAATACCAAAAGGACCTGCGAGAAGAATGCGAAAGCAAATTCGGTGAGACGAAGAAGGTCGTGATCTACGACCGTAACCCCCAAGGGGTGGCCACTGTTACGTTCAAAGACGTCGAGCACGCCGACGCCTGTATAACGACAATGAAGGGTCGTTTCTTTGCTGGACGGCAACTCGAAGCGGACCATTGGGATGGCAAAGAGAAATTCAAAATCGTCGAATCGGAGGAGCAGCTCGAAGAACGGATGAAAAAATGGGATGAATTCCTCGAGAAGGAATAGAGGGAGCGCTTACTGTATATAAAACTATAAAAATAAAATCACGTGAAGATACTTGGATACACGGCTTTTCTGAAGGCTGCTTCAAGAGAGCAGGCAGAGAGCGGAGGAACGCCTCCACCAGTCGAATGACGAGGGACTTCCGGTAGAACGGAGGTACTGCCGCCGAAGAGACGTTTTCTCAGAATTTGGTCGACGAGAGTCGGAAGCGATGCTACATCGAATTCGGGGCCTCCGGTCAACGTATCTTAAGGCGGAAATAGAGTATGTGATATTTTTCCAGGAATGATTGCAGACGTTGACGAACCGATCTCCACGGGGACTACGCTGGTCGCAGCTCACTTCAAGGATGGCATCGTGATAGCTGCCGATTCCAGGACGTCTTCTGGATCTTATGTTGCGAATCGAGTTGCAGATAAACTCACTAAGATCACCGACTCGATCTACTGCTGCAGATCTGGCTCGGCTGCCGATACTCAGGTAAGCTCTCGTTTTATCGCGGCCTCGCAACCGGAAACGATATCTACCAGAGAGGAGGATGAATTTTGTCCAGCTCAGGATATGCAGTCCTATTCCTATCGGTAGACTCTCGACACTTCTCATGTTCACCCTTCCAGTGCATCGCCGACGCCGTAGCGTATCACCTCGCCTTCTACGAAATGCAGACCGGGAAGCCCGCGACGGTCGAAGCGGCTGCGAACGTTTTTCGCAACATCTGCTATAAGTATCGAGACGATATGGTCGCCGGGATAATCTGCGCAGGTTATGACGATGAACGAGGCGGAGGGATCTACTCCATTCCCCCGGGAGGCTGTCTCGTTGAAGAGAAACGAGTAATTTCGGCGGGCTCCGGTAGCGTGTTCATCAGCGGTTTCTTGGATGCGCTCTTCAAGAACAATATGAGCAAAGAGGAGTGTGTCGATTTATGTCTCAAAGCGGTATCGCTGGCGATCCATAAAGACACAAGCTCGGGAGGGGTGTGTCGAATGGCCGTGATCACTAAGGACGGTGTTGAGAGAAAACTATTCCTCAACAACGAGCTGGTTCAATACGAGGGATGAGACCAGCGAGCGAGCGAATGTAATTATTATATGAATAAAGAGGCTCGATTGAGAACGCGACTCTATTTCATTTGCCAGGATCTCTCGTCCTAACTTTTTATTCTAATTCGGCTCCCTCGACCGTACGAATCCTCCCGACTCCCCTCGCATGGATGTGATCACGCGGACATCAGCTGACTGAGTGATGTAAGCTTGGCTCATGTGGGGGAGAAGGCTTCTCGATTCTTTTTCGAAGGGAGGAAACTCGCGGCGGGTGAGTGGAGACTCGCTTCTGAGCTCCTGCCTTCTTAGCTGGTCTGGGTCGATCGATACTGAGTAAGACCGGATCTGTGAAACATCTCATCGGGAAAATACGCCAGACAAGGTCTTCGACAAGCTACACAGCAGATTCGCGATGGCTCCGGAGTTGCAGGCTTTCTCTTTGGCCGTGATTCCAGCGTCCTTCTCTTGGCATGTCTTCAGAGCTTCTTCCAGTAGCGGTCTCGTATGCTTGAATGTGATGTAGGATCCGAAAAGGAATGAGAATCCTAGCAGAGATATCGTCAGGAACAAGAACTGCAGCCACATTCTGGGGCAGAAGTCAGCATTCCGTGTGGAGCCGCGGTGGTAGCTGCCGTCGGCGAACGTCCACGGCAGATCGAGATTACGTGGATGAAGGCGGAGCTGCTCCTGAACTGGCACTACGATTTGAGCACTTCGACATAGTTGGCTTTGCGTTGACGCATCCGAGCGACAACCACAGCAACGATGCGCCAGTGGAGTGCTCATCCTATTGTCGAACGAGTTCCCATTTAGTGCTCCGTATTCTCGACGAAAACGACCCGTCGAGTGGAGCAATGACTAAATAAAGCTCCCTTCTCCCACTCTGATACATTCTTGTCCATAAACGCTAGAGCGACTGATTGCGAGTCGATCCGATGATTCAATTCATTTTGGAGTCTGATGGTTACTGGTGAATTCTGGGGTTTCCCGCCGCGCGGATCAGCTCATTCATTCGACGAGATCAAATACATATAACTAGGCCCGTCATTGATTCGCAGAATGATTATTAATTATCACCTACCAATAATATATTGAGGGCTGCTCAGGAAGACTATTCCTCCCCTAGGGTTGCTTCCTTCCGAGAAATTATCGAGCCCCGGAGAAACGTCGACAATTAGCATCTCAGGGTATAAAGGAAGCCGGAAGCAATCGCGGAGGGATACGATCTTCCAAGGAGGATGGAAGAGGTATTTTCCAGCAGCGGTGAAATTCGGACAAATCTTGCCCACTACCGACGCTGACGAATAAGCTCACTAAAGAAGAAAGTTCTGTCAGAAATCATGAATCTGATGAAACGCTCCGCGTCGACTGAATATATGCATTCGAAGGCAGTTTCTCTGGCGATCCGAGCGCCGCTATCGAGCAGCGAGGATCGCGGAAAGCACAAGGGGTCGGTCGGGAGCGATTTGATGGCTACGAACGCTTGTAATGAGCGGAGAGTTCGCGGATGTTTATCCTCAATCGACGAAATCGAAAGGAAGCAAGCCGGACACGAATGTCTGGGAATCAGAGAGAGCATTTCAGCTTGGTCGGTAGAATACAATGAGGCCGATAAGGTTGCAGGCAGTCGACTTCTGACAGAGAATAGCCAAAAGTGCATGCTCATGATAATCGGCTCAGATTGGACGAAAAAGCCTCTCCGTCGACGTCGGATGTTGTCTCGGTTGAGAAGATTCCGGAGATCTCCGTCCAACTGCCGTCGTTGGGTCTCGCTCCAGTTTCGACAAATGCGGACGATATTTCTAACTATGGTGCTCCTGGAACGAGAGATCGGGATTCTGCGGCGTAACGAGAGCAGATGCGATAATTCCCCATCCGGATCCCGCAGCACCAGGAGAGCCTCATCACTTCCTCAGTTTCCCGGCCTTTTCTCACTTGAGCTGATGGTCAACTCGAAAAGCCGCGAATCGTTCTTACAGCATCGCTTCGCGGGAGCGGTGCCGCCTCCGGGGATTCCGTATGAGATGGATCGAGATGAGAAAATGATAGTTTGATGTCAGACATGAAAGCAAACTTTATTTCTCAGCTTCCATTTCGTAAAGCGCGATCTGCTGCTATATCATCGACTTATTTTACAAAGTAACGGTGCTCTCGTCTTGTGTGTACAAATCAGTCAGCCTGCGAGTCGATGGATCGGGAGGACTCGATTCGGCTCAGGAGGGGACAATGATCACCGAGTATTACTCCGGAGACTCTCAGGCTTCCAGGTGTAACGTATCATATTATTTTTATGTTCTTTCATTCTTAATGGTTGGAACCTGTTCTCCCGCATTCGGTGTCACCTCAGATTCCTGACTGTGTGTATATTTGCCCCCGGCGGTCGCATACATGGATAGGGCGGAGGAAACATTTGGGTTCAGTTCAGATTCCGGAAGCTCACTAAGATCCTTGACTTCCTGACGGGAATCAGAAAACAATGGGCTTCCTTTTCTTGGGAGCGGTCGCTTCGGTGCTGGGTTCTTCGACCGATGGCTGTAACCAGCAGAAGGAATGAGCATCCAAATCCAAGGATTTAACGAGCACCGCTCGGAGTCTCGCGATGCCCGAAAATATTGAGTCCCCTGATCCCGAAGAGAAGACTCACCTTCGCGGCGCGCTCAAGTTTCGCGGCTTGGAATTTCTCTTTGCGTTTCTCTAGAATTTCCTGAGCGTTGGCCTTTGTTACCGCTTGAGAAACGTTCTCGCCAAATCTTTCGGCACGCTTGCGAAGTTTCTCGAGATCTTCCGCCTGAAATCCGACGAAATCGCGACTGAGTCAAGGGGTCGTCCTTATGGGAGAACCGACGGCGACAGCAGGGAACGAGGACGAAGAAAAAGTGGGAATCGCTGCTTACGCTTTTCGCCACGGGCGACGGTTTTATTGCACTCGCTTTAGGAACCGGCGTTTCTTTCGCTTGTTTGCCGTCTTCTCCGACAGGAATCCCGAATCGTTTGGCGCGGTCCAAGAGTTTCTGCTTATCGACTTCGGGAGCGTCTCCGATTTTCACAGCCCCTGAAATTGTCCGAGCATAGAATACCCTCTCTCGATTCCTGATCGAGCACCACATACGAGTCCAGACCGACAACGATGACACCGAGAGTACTCGCAATCTTTTGAGACTATGACTATAGAAATATTCTGATGATAGGTTGCTCACCGAATTTCTTAGCGCGCTCTTCTAATTTCGCTTCTGGCAAGCCGAATCGAGCGGCCCTAGCTTTGAGTTTACTGGGGTCATTCGAGCTTGCGGAGGCAGTCTCTGGCGGAGGGACCGGGTCAGAGAACAAATTGTCCTCCATTGGGAGGAGAACACCCTCTTTCTGAAGAACCGCAGCTGTTTTAACAACCGTCACCGGTGGCGGTGCTGCCTTGGCTGCGGGAGCTGCCGCGGGAGTTATTTTCTGTGGGAACAAGATTCATATTAGTGCAGCGCGAGGGTGCGTCTGAACACTCGAAGCCGGATTTCGTCCGAGCGAGAGCCGCCCGCGTGCACAAACGATGAGGCCCGCGACGATGACTGACCTTTTCAGGCGATTTCGCCTGGCTGACATCTTTGAGGAGATCATCTTCGTTGAGGAGACCTTCGTCTGTGTCGGAAAGCCCTTCTTCGGGAAGAGCTTCATCCCCTGCGGAACGACTCAAGGTATTAATTTCGTGATTCACTCCTCAGTGAGCACCATTACGAGCATCTCTTGGCGACATACCGAATGTATCATCGCTTCCTACAAGAGAACTCCGTAATCTCTCAGCGAGCTCGGCCTTCGTTCCCGTACAAGGGAGATTTCTCGCCTTCAATTCCCTCTTCAAATCGGCGACCTGGAACAAGGAAAGCTCGGTGAGATCCCGAATTCTCGGAAGGCCGGCTGACGTGGTTTAGGAGTCGTGGTCAATGGCGCCAAAACCACCACCGCAGCGGACGACTCGGACGATTCTCGTACAAAAAGTCGGGAAGTGGCCGGGATACTCCCGAAAGAGTTTCATCGGCAGTTCGAGCAGATGGGTGACAGAAATGCTTAAACTCAAGTCGCCGGAGCTAGAAAGATCTGAGTTCCGAACCATTCGACAGCAGCAGATTCTGCCGGATACACGCCGTGATCGTAAAAAAAGCACTCACCTTCATAGAGTCGATGTCCATCCTCAGAATCGTGTCGTACGGGAGGCTAAAAGATATCTTGGCAACAACAATATTCCGGAAGAGATATCGGAAACTCACCGCGTCGGCAGTCGGCAAGGCTGTTGCCGTTCGTTCTTGTTGATGTTTATGTGTCGTTCGTGTATCGTCTGCAAATGCTGATGATCGCATGCGCGTGTGTGGGATTAAGGATGGCCCAAGTTTAACCGCGCTATAGATTCTTCTTCCCTGTGCTCCGGGCTCAATCGACACAGCATTTGGAAATTCAGCGTCGCCGGATCTATTCTCCCTGTTGTCGATAAGAGTTTATACTGACATGAGCAGACGGAGAGCTTAAATCGTTACGCGTGTAGAGCAGGATCCGCGAGGGGCGCTGCCCCATAAATTCTCGACTGAACATGTGAACATCACCGTCAATCTGCTCTACCCGATAGTGGTGACATCGGCTTGATTGACGGATAGAATCCCGATCGCTAGCCCCCCGGAGGAGTCGAGAGGAATAGGGACGTCAAGATATGAGGTGACTTCTTGAAAAGGCAACCAAAAATGCGAATCAGTAGTATTGAGCAGATCCTGGGCCCACCAGAGCGGAGTCCCCTGAAGCTCCAGAGAGGTGGATTCTAGGGTCCAGCGAGTTCCTGATACCGCCTTGCTTTCGGCCCGATGAACACGCTATGCATTTGGCAAACTGGGCTCCTGCCTGTCCCAATCAGAGACATCTTCCGTAGGCTCGCGGGAGCTCAGAGTGAGGATGCGCTAACTGATGAATCCAGATCGCCGTTCCGCTCTCCTGAATGCGATGTGATCGAGGAGTCGTCCTGCCTCTCCGGGAAATCCAGGAGGCACCGCGGATTCTATCTGAGACGGAACGACGCGATAAGGCAAGGGCAGAAGGAAGCAGTACACACGCCCGATTCTCGGCGAAGCCTCAGCAAAAATCATCAGCAGGCTCGTTTTCACTCTCCTCCACTGCCACCACCGGTCGCTGCCATCATCGTCATAGATCTACCGCAAACCTTGACTTGAACTATTCGGTGCGGTGAAATTACAGCGAGACGTGTTTCTGCAGGGAAGACTCGTGAGCCTCAATTTCCACTTATCCGGAGTCTGCTGTCCGAAGAAAAGTGAGTAGGGAGCTCCTGCGGGACTCCTTGGCGAGAGTAACTCGGAACTCCAATTTGCGGCTGAGGCTAGAGGAAAATCCACCGACTCGCGGAAATGAAGAGGATGATGGAGGAACGTGGCTCGCCTTCCTCTTCGGGGTTCGGATTAGTCTGACGGGAGTGTCCGTGGAGTTGTGCTCGAATGTAATAATTGCTCCCGCGTCTATACAAAACCGGCCGCTTGGAGTCGTTCTCCAAAGGAGCGACCTGCTTTCTCACTCGAGGCAGCGGACCTGGATTACAGCAGGTGAAAGGTCTGAGTTTCCTTCGAAGGGACACTAGCTCATCTCCGCGCTTAATCAGGTTTTCATAGGACATTGTTGCAATTGCTTGTCAAAATGTCGAGAAAAGAACTCGACGCTGAAGTCGGACCGGAAGATTCGAATCCCTCCCGAAAGGCGCCTTCCTCCTGCGAACTCAGCTGTGACGATGATTGTGAAGACAAGCTCCTCGAATACGCCGAGTTCTCCAGCGACTCGATGTGCTCTTGTTGCGGGAGACCGGTAATGGAAGCAGCGTTCGATAAGCCCATTCCGGGGGATCAGATTTTTTTCGTTCTTGAATGGGAGCTTCTTAGAAGTCGCTCAACTCTCTCTTTCCCTGCGGACATCGGCGTTTTCAGCGGGCGTGTATATTCGACGCTCGAACATATTCTACGGATTCTGAAAAAATCTGATTCGTCGTGAGTGCAGTCGGGATACGAATGGCCTCCGAGTGGTCCAGAGCATGACGATCAACTGTTCATCTATTCCACAGAGAACGGCTGTGCGATGCGCCTCTGGGTGGCTCTGTTGTTGGTGGCTCTATTGGTTGTACAACTCGATGCGCAGGCCAATGATGATGATTTCTCAGAATTCGAGGACATCGAAGACGAATCCAGTCAGGCCCCCAAACCCCAGAGCGGCGAGTTTCAACCACTCAGGCAGCCGGCTGCCAGCGCCGAAGATTTTAAAGAAGACGTTTTCATCGAAGATGAAGACAGTGAGAATCCGGACGTCGACTTCGATCATTTCCAAGACTCCGAAGAGTTCGAAGGACACGACAGGTAATCACTGATCTCGATCGGTCTTGATACGATAAAGAAGCGGTGATCGAAGAGGTTTTCTCTGATCAGGTGTCTGTCTTTACACATAAACCCATAATCAACTTTTACGATCTACAACCTAAGATCACCTTCCGATCCAGTGTACAAAATCCGCAATCGAGTGCCGAGAACCGGGTGAATCAGCCCCAGAGCGATAAATCGAGCGACTTGAAGATCAAAACGGTACCTTTCCATCTCGGTAATACTTGGTCCAGCTACTACATGGAACTCCTCATGCTGGGCGCACTGGTTATTTACTTCATGAACTTCCTGAGCGGGCGCAGCAGGAACGCTAATATCGCAAACGCGTGGCTCGAAGCTCATCGATCGATTCTCGAAAGCAATTTCGCACTTGTCGGGGACGATGGAACAGTTGTGAGTGAGGCTTAAATATATAATGTTTTGGAAGGAGCTCTGACGATATCGATTCGGCTGCATAGTACATCTTATCGTCGATCCTGACTCTGGATTGAGCCTTTGTGGAGCGAGCTCTCAACGAGATTGTTTTCTTGCAGGAAGTGCAGAGCCACGGCTTCCGAAAAGAAGCGGAGCATTGTTATCTCCTATGGTGCTCAGGACGGCAATTCGTTGAAGGGATGCTTGTAGAACTCAGAATGATTAAACGCCAGTGCCTCGTCGGCGTCATCGGTCATATGATGAGACCATCGTCGGATCAAGCGATTTTCCAGGTAGGATTGAAATTCCTGTGGACTTCCATTTAGACTCGGGTTCGCTCAATCTGAGTTCGGATAGTCCTTAAGAGAAATCTATGAATCTACTCAGCTGACCCTCGACGCTATGGAGCCAATGGTCTTCTGTCTGGTGTCGAGGAAATCTTCGACTCAGAAGTTCATCAAGGACTTCATCGATATATCTACTTACTGCCCAGACCGAAGGAATCTCCCGGACAAAGCCGCTCGTGAGCTGGGAGATAATTTTGTTGTTCACTCCGAGATCGCAGAAGTTACTCTGTCAATTTTACAAGTGAGTGTGGACCATCTGACTCAATCAGAATTCTCGCAGGAAAAAATCTTCGTCGTTCAAAATGGTCTGCCGTCAAACCTCTTCGACATGACCCTTCACATTCCAGGATGTGCGCATCGTTTCCCTGTTGGCGCAATTCAAAGATCTCGTCGAGTTACTTCATATTTCGGACCAATACAGTCCAGAGAAACCCAATAGCGAGGAGATTAAGCTGAAGCGACCGAAAATCGAAAAGACCATCCTCCTCCATGTGAACTGTGAGTCATAACCAGAAGACCCTTTTTGAGAATCGACTATCGCACTGGAATATCACTCGCGTGACGAGCTCGGCGTCTACAGAGCTTGCTCACGACTTCAGCTACCACGAACTAAATTCTCACCGGTTGTGTTGTAGTGCCGGGCCGCGGTCGAGCTTCTGACGGGGACATGGAGGGTGTGACTGATCTTTTGAAATTGTGCCTCTACATTGCCGACAAGATATCGCGACTTAAGCTGAGTAAAGAATCGAAGACCAAGGCCGACAAGAACCGTCAGAAAACAGAAGAAATACACCTGAAATACACGCACGCTCAACGACAGGTAGGGTTTCGAATCTCTTCCAGATGGGACCTCCGAATGGGGAAGTTACAGCCTCGATGACTAGGGAGCAGTCAGGAGGAATCACCGATTCTTCGCTTCCAGGAAATGGCTCAACAGCGCCGCGAAGAGAGGATTCGTATGGAACGCGAGAGAATTTTGGCCGAGGACGATCCCGAGAAGCAGAGACGTCTGGAGATGAAGGAACAGAAACGTCTCGCTAAGAAGAATACGCCCAAACTCAAACAAATGAAGGTCCGCGCGATGTGAATCGTTCGTCGCAGCGAACTAATCTCTAGAAGAGCGATGGGATATCCGAATGGCTAGACGCACACGACAAGTCGAGGGATCCTAAACGACAAGATGTGGATTGGCGCCTGCTGTGGAAGAATCATGAACGTACAGCCGAATCGATCTTCGACTGACTGCGCAAGTGTCGAACGCCCCGTTCCTTGATCGTAGTCTTCGTGGTGATCCCCAGAATAATATATTAGAGAATACTGTTAAAGACTTCCGGGGTCCCGGATACCGGAGGTCAGGAAGCAGCTGAGCGATAAGTCTCCTTTCTGGTGAGGCAGTCGTCCGCCTTTCACAAATATCTGCCATCGGAATTCGATCCTTGATCCCGATAGGATCCGAGCATCATGAAGGGAGTTCTTGGGATCCGCGGCTGCGCTGGCCTCTCGGGTTTCGGCCATCTTCGCGCCGCAAGACCGCCAAAATAACTTAAATACAATAAAGAAGAAGAGTGTTTTTTATGAAACTGAAGGACTATTGAAAGAGAACTTCCCGGGTTAGTAACTCAACAACAATGTCATAAGAATTTATTAAATTTACAGACTTATACATCCTTTTGTGCGATCGACAAATCCGAGACTCCCGAACATCCTTACCCCAGGATATCGAGAGGACTCCGGTCGAATATCTGGCCACCATGGGTCGCGATGAGTCGGACGAAGTTTAACGAATCCACTCGAATCGCTGTGGTGGTACAGGGAAAAACTAGCTCTCTCCTCTCGAGCGTTTCAACTTCTTTTTCTTACTCTTATCACGCTCCTCTCGAGACTGCATCCGCAACAATTTCCGACGCTCTCTCCGACGCTCCTTCCGACGATTCAATGGTACCGAATCATCTGATTCGGCGGCTCTCTTCCGCTTCTGTTTACGTACCGACGGGAACATGTCTATACCTTCCAAGTCGGGTTCATATAATTTACGTTTCTTCTTGGGATGCTGCCCCCTCTTGCGATCTCCTGACTTCCTCGACCTTTTGCTCCCATCATTCTTCTCTGAACCGCTGCTGACGCCCGCCCTGCTCGAATTTGGGAAACCATTGAACTTTTTCGATGCCTCAGAAATCGGAATGAAATCCCCTCCGAGGACAGAAGCTCTTCCGCGCTCAGCCTGTGAAGTTTGAGCGTGCTCAGAAGCCGACTCCTGTTTCTTCTTTCTTTTTTTCTTGTTCTGCGGATTCCTAGCGCTGGTTCTCGGTTCTTTGTAGCTGTGAACGAATCGACTGGCTATGCCTGAGTTGGCCGCTCTGCCGCAGTCGGTCGCAAAATGACCCCGGCGTCCGCACCACGAGCAGAATTTCTTTGCCAGAGACAGCTTCTCTCCTGCCTCCGGTGCTATCGGGGGTCCCTCCCTGGTGGTGCAGTGGAAGCGTCTCCAGTTATCCGGACAAATATCAGCCTTATGACCAAATATGTTGCAGATCCTGCATTGGGTCTCCAGCAGGTGTTGAGCTCGATAACAACGCCACCATGTATGACCCTCGTTTTTGCAGGTGGAACAGATTTTGTTTGGACACCTGCCGGAAGAACATTGCTTATTGATCATCCCCGAAGATTTCCTCCCACTCCTGGCACCCGTAACACGGAATCGGAGCTTGTAACGTACCTCGCCGCGATGTGCGTCGTATCCGCACACAGGATACAGACTATTCGTTCGGGCAGCGGACACTCATGGGTGAGGTGACCGCTCTGTCGACAATTTCTGCACTCTTTCGAGGTGTGATAGCGATTTCTCCGGAGGTGTCGGAACTTGTCGTCCATGTCCACATGCCAGAGACGTTTGTGTTCCTCGGGACTAAGTTTCTTCTTCATAGTCACCTGGGGAACGAATTGCATTGATGTCCCGCCTCTACTCGGTTTACTAAAGTTTCTCTACTGATCGAGCTGATTATATCAATCGCCTCACCTGATCGGGAATGCCCCGTCCAAAACTCACTACATTGAGCTCCATGTCTTCGGGATCACTCAGAGAGATTTCTTCATCAGAGGTGAATTCCGGTGACAGGGTCGGCAACGCCGTGGAAATCTCGCATCCATCATCGGAGTTCTCGATGTTGACGGGAGTCGCCTTCGTAGGAGACTCCTGCACGGATATCACATCAGTCTTCTTATTTCGTTCTGCCCTCGTTCGCGATTTTTTTGCTGTGGAGATTCATTTTTAGACTCTTAGATCAGCTGCCGCAACCCTCGATGCGACTCAAGTCCCTTCTCTGAGGGAACCTCCGAGAGCCTACCACACCACACGGGGTTAAACAAACCTCTCTTGGGTCTCGGCCTGATATTCGCGTTGATATCATCGGAGTCGCCACTCTCATCGCTCCGATTGCACTCCAGAGACGAGCTCACTGATGGACCGGGGTTGTCAGCAGGTCTGCCGTCGGCTTTGGCTGTCTTCCTTGGTTTGACTTTTTGAACTTCCAATTTCGTCGCAATACCTTCATTATCACTCCCGTCGATATAGGAGTCTGCTAGCGACTCGATATCACCTGGTGCTCTTCTAGTTCCTACGACATCGATCGCAGCAGCCGCCTCTAGAACGGGGCCCGGCTTGCCCGATGGGATCGTGGTGGACGCAGCGACAGGCTCGCCGCAGGTTTCTGACGGTTCGTCCACCACCATCCCCGTAAAACTTCTCCTCGATTTGACGTATGCCTCGCAAGACACAGGAATGCTCTGCTCTTTGAAGAATGCATTGAGAAACAATTCTGTTGCTGTATGCTCATCACACTCATCCGACTTGTAATCATCCTCGCAATCCATGATGACCATCCTCGCTCGGTCCCCACGGATGGTAAGTCTGCCAACCGATCAGCAAAGGGAAAAAATTCCAGCGCAAGCGGAAAAAACTCCCGACGACCCTAACTAAACGAGTCGTGTTTCATGTGGAACGGAGAGCACATGGTCCGTCGACAGCCGGATACTCGTGGAATAACAAACCGAGACAGCCAGCGCCATGGCGCGGGTGGCGGGAAGCACCCGGAAACGAGCGCCCAAAAGTCGTCGGCCGCCGACATCAGACACCGGCCGATTCCGGCGGACGGGTGTTCATTCGATCGCTGAGCAATATGGCGGACAGCCGGTTCACCCGCTGAATCAGCGGCAAGACTGCGAATTTTTACCGCGAGCCAAGACGGCGACCCGTCTGTAAGCTACATCGGCTGGCGACCGCGGTCTTGACTAAACTGCTGCTCTGAACTCTCAGTGACAGCGCTGGCCAAACGGTGGTCCGCATAGCATTCTATCCAGTTTACACCAGAGGGAGCTTATCTGAGCGTAGACCATGACTTCCGCGGCGGAAACTCCACAGCCCAATGTTCCTCAGTCATGAGACGGCCGCGCGTGCTGCTCGGATACCCCGAGCATCGTGAATATCGATTTCTCTCGCTATTTCGATTTTTGATTCGAGTCTCGCCCGCTTTTCCTTGAGAAAGATTACACTGAAAGCTTCGAACGCACCCTTCCGTCGCAACAAATATCGTTCCACTTGATCGATAATAATTCTGCGGCTGATTCAGGCTGCATCGAAGCTGGATCGTTAACCGTAATTTGTGATCCCTCTCGACGAATAAATAATCAATACGGTCTTCCGCTTCGTATTCCAGGATCTCAAAATCTATATACGGCTCCATAATGCCATTGTTGTATCAAAATTTCATGGTCGTCTTGTCTGGCGCCCACATCTAGTCAGAGCCATTGATGATGTTCATTCGTATTTCCTCCATAGATTGCGCAATTGATGTCATCTTGCCTCGCCGCCCTTACTTCGATCCCTCGACTCAAGCTTAGACGCCTTTGTGTCCATCGAACCCTGCCTCCAAACGGGTTCAAGTTCAACCCCTAGCCCCGGCCCACTCTGACTGAATATTTAAGTACTTTGCCTGGTTCCTTAATCGGTGCTCTTTTGAGTGAGAAGGGCGCCCCGTTGTATTATACACCAGCTCTCGAGCGCGGCCTAAGGCCGCGATCTCCGAGCACGAGTGAAGAGAACGATATCCGCGCTCGTGGCGTAGACTTTCACAGAGCGGTCCTGCAGAAGCAGTAGCGGAAACTCCGCTGCTGTCGACACCGTCATGACGGAGGCCTGAGGATGTACATATTCGAGATCACTGCTCGTGAGGATTCAGAGATCCAAAAGACGACTTCTTGAGCAGGTCGGGCAGACTTAATCATCAAGTTGCAATCATACTCGAAGCCCTACCTTTATCGATAGCTCTGTCCGTTTCATAACCGTTATGTTCTGGGAAATGTTTGTTCGACCGATAGCTGAGGGCGTTAATTCATGAGCATTCCACCATTCGGGCTTCATGATCGCTGGGATCCGAGGACGACCGACCCAGGTCGCCTCGAATCAGTTTATGGAGTTGGTAAGGATGTAATTGCTCTCACGAACGAAGTTCGATTCCAAGAGCGAAGCCAAAGCCGATAGGGCATTATTCTTCGGAACAAGAGCGAGGGCCGCAAACATCCGAACATCCAGCGCGAAGTCTTCGTCAGTCATGTATTTGTTGCGCAGGGCGCTGTCTGCCTGGATATGACGCCAGATGCACTGGTCAAAATGAAAGTTGCAACCTAAGATATCAGCCACCGGGAAAAGAATTCGAGCTCGCGAACCATGGCGATTTCAAAATCGATGTGGAGGAGATACGGTTGGTGACCGTCGAGAAGGTCGGCGACGATGCCGAGGAAGCGTCGGTATGTCACCGCGCTCTTTGATGGCGGGAGCGAATATACCACTGGCACCGCTTCGCCATCTGGCAGCTTCGCAAGAATGCTGTACAACATTTGATGGAAGATCAAGGGACAAACTCTGAAGTTCCCATCTAGGAACAGCTCGTCGCTCTCTCTTAGGATATTGAGGTTCTCAGGCGTCTCGAATATGAGGATCCTGTCCGTCGCTCCCTCGCCGGAGTCGTGGAGTAAAAACGATTCGTTTTTCGTCGTCATCTGAAGTACGGAGAGAGTTGAAATTCAGAGCACAGGCTGAAGGACGCTATCCGCCATCAGTGTCCAAGGAATCAGAAAGGCCCTACTTTCGGTAAGAAACACCACAGTCCGTGATAATCATGCTCACGATACCGCAGGTTCCGCGATATCCGCCACACTCGCATACCTTCAAGATATTTGGGATGATCAGATCGCTCCGATGCGATGGATTCGCAGGAAAGGCCGGGGCCGCTCGCTTGCGGGCGTTCGCAACTCGTCGCCGTAGGAGATCAGCCTTGGGTAGCCTGCCAAGGATGGCAGTGGAGCTAATCTTGCCGACCACCCCCGCTACGAGGGCGGTAGATTTCGCACTCGGTCGTTGCGTGGCAGCTTTCCTGAGCAGGCCCAAGTTGTTCCGTATTTCGACGTTGACTGGATCTGAGCTATGAGTATACTCCGGCGGAATCTGTAGCGAAAATTCCGAATTAGGCTATCTACGAGATTTTCCGAGCTCCCGACTCGAAAATTACTCCGTGCGACTCGTTCTCTGTCGCACGTTCTCTATGCATACTGCATATTTCGCCGATTTCTGAATTTTCGTCAATTTTTATATAATTCCGTCTTATGAGCGCCCATGTATGACTTTTCAATCTCAAGTCTAGAGCATGTCGACTTCTCCTCACGAGCCAGGAAAACTCTCTCGGGCTGTACCACACAGCCAAGGTTTAACGTCCTGGGTGCTATTGTTCACATTGCTTCCGAGGTCGGATCCAACGAGCAAATGTACCCAGGGGCACCAAGGCCGAGTGCTTGCGTTCCCGTAAGGAATATTTTTTCAGCAACAGGGATCCTTCCCACGCCACCTCCCGAAGGAGCGGCGTCGTTGCGGCATTTCACGCAGTGAAACGCACGTTTGCACGAGAAGTGACCGACGCGCCACTCGACCACCCGTCGGTTCTCACGAGCCAGAGCAAAATCTGTCGAAAACCCTCCTAATGAAGCACGTTCAGATGATTTCAGGGTGCCTCAGCTCTGACTGCTGAAGTTGATAGGCGGCGTGCAAACGTCGACGCAGTGCAACCTCTGACTTGAGATGTAGACTGCCGCCAAACATTCGAGAGAGCTCAGTTGGCTCTGGTACCTTGCGAAGACAAGCGTTCTTTCCCGCAGTGTAGGGCGATAGTGCCAGACAACGGGAACTCATTCCTCTTTGAAAAACTGAAGAAATCGATTGTGGTTGCTTGTAACAAGGATCTCTTATAAAAAATCCGTGCATATTTTCATGCACATTTGGCCGTGTTCGTCGTGCATACTGCATGCATATTTTCGAGTTTTTGATGCATATTTTGCACAGCCCTACTTATAAGTCTTGAACACGCACCGCCGAGTTGTTTTCGAATCCTTTCGTCGACCTCATCGCCCCCTTCCACATCGGCTGGCCCCGGGAAGAGGTCACATAGTTTAAGGGCATTTTTGATGAATGGACAATCTCTCGTACGTCACAGGAGAGCTTGGTCACTTCTGACACTATTTACTGTCTCGGCCACGCTTTGTGTATGTGGCTCATCGCCTGACAGAGTGCACGATGGTGGTCTCCACCTACGAGTTCGATCTCCCCGCTCGAGCCTCCGCGGCGTCACAGTTCTGCTATCTATGTGCAATACGCTGCCCTCAAATTCACGCTGCGCCCAAGTGTACCTGCACTAAAGATGTGTGGCACCTCACCATATAGGGAACCACGCGGTGAAATCCTTTCCGTTCGGGAGTCTCGGCAAGGACACACGATGAACCAAGGAGCCATCAGAAATAGATCGGGATTCCGATCGGAGTCCGTGATGAACCATGAGACATTGAGGATCCGACTTGGGGACTTGGAAACCGCTCTCCGTGAGTAAAATTCGCAGAATTGTGAAGTTCGTCCGCTTTTTCCGCTACATCGCTTACTATAAGAACGGGACTCAGAATCGTCTCTGTATTGCTTTCGATTCAGTACGAGTCATGACGGACGACCGCCTGGAGGCGGACAGATTGGGGATACGCCGAAGAAACTATAGGATCCACGCAAGGCCGGACGTTGACGTCGATGAGTCCCAGGACGGGACGGAGCGCGTCAACTGGGCCGCGGCGTCAACTGGGCCACGACATCAACTGGGCCACGACGTCAACTGGGCCGTGGCGTCAACTGGGCCGCGGCGTCAACTGGGCCACGATCGACCTCAGTTCGGGGGCTCCAAGAAGCTAATGAACTTCTCCAGGGGGAGCGATTAATCGAAGTCCTCTCTCTTCCTCTCTCGCTCTCGGGCATTCTCTTCACATGCCATGTGAAAGCCACGTTCGGGAGGAAACTTACTTCGATTTGGGACTCTCCGTTGACGGGAGTGATCCTCGACTTGAGCGCAAAGATGCAGCCCGTTCGAGCAGAAACGCGAATGCTTCCTCTATTGATGCGGCGAGAATCATGAGCGATGGGAGATATGATACCACGAAAGACACGTTTCTGAGGGGAAGTTTATTATGACAGCCAAAAAAGTATCCGAGCGAAATTATTATTCCACCACTTTCGGTCGCTTTCAAAATCCTCTCAACTTTGGAAAACGTCATAGCTCCGAATGCTCCAAACTTTCGAAGGCGCTCTTCCGGATGCCTGCGGAATCTTGAAACGTTTTCCCGATTGCATACCCAATCAATCATTCTCTCGAAAAAGAGTGAATCCATCAATCAATCTGGAACATGTCAGCTCCTCTAGAATCACAACACGGCAGGGAGACGTTGGCTCATCATCAGTGGCGTATCCAGGCCGAAGCTGACGATGCTATAGCTTCGTCCTCTCGGAAATTCTTGAAGCTAGCTTTGTCAAACCGGTCGTCCCAAATCCCAAGTTCCCCCCTTCGAAATGATCGTCGGACCGGAGAGACATGTGGTTCAATGCGGATCAGCATTGCGTAATCCGTTCCTTTTGGGTGCATAGGCAAAGCATAGAATACTTGGAGGGGGGATGATGAAAAGCACAGAAGAACCCGCCGCCTCGATGCACCTGGACAGCACATAGCAGATGCAAAGTAGAAGCTCCTCTCCTTTGAAGCTTCCTGGTTGCGGTCTGTCTTCACGCGATGCTGGATCATTTTAATCTCTGAATGTGAGCTGGGACGCTGACACCCTTCGAAGCTACCCCCCTTGACCGGAACTTCTCTGACTTGGTCGAACAATCATATCCAAAAATGTTCTTGACAGATTCTAACTATTGTACCCTCGGAATGCCCTGTCTCGGACTCGCTCTACGTGTACAATACTAAGGCCGTCTTGCCTTTAAGGGCTTTGGAGGCTCTCGCAGCTCGCGGCAATGACTGCACCGCGTTAGTTGGTGAACTAGAGGAGCTCAATGAGCAAACAGAATTCAATGACCTTTTCCTCCGCTAAGGAAGAGGGAGAAGAAAATCGGATGATCCAAGATCACGTCGATACCGGTGAGACGAGCGAAACGGAACTTGGACAGCAAAGATTAGCGCTTTGATGTGATCTTCCCAAGATGCAAATGATTCATTCATTCATAAGCACACCGCTTGCGAGCGGCATTTCCCGTCACAACCTATCTCTCGATTAAGTTCAAGCTCGGTATCTCTAGAATCCGAGACCCGCAAACCAATCCTGGGAGGTGAAGCATTCAGCTCCGTCGGAAGAAAGTCCTGAATACGCCACTGCTCATCAAGCTTGCACATATACGTCTAATAGGGAGAAGTTTGCACATATACGTCCTCGCACAGTTCAGCAAAGATGAAACGAAAGAGTTCTGGCGTTGTCAATTCAAGAACAGCAGGACTGGCGAATGCTTTGCTCGTTTAACTAAGAGTCTCATCTCAGACGAGATATCGGTTCTTGGAATCTACACAGATATGCCGAACGCTTCTGCCATCGAAGTGCTCCAGCAGAGGGTCGCTCCCGGGAAGTTCGAACGATTTCTTCTCGGAGATAGCGGATCAGACGATCCAAACCGGATCCCGATATTCAGAAGTGAGAGCACGAATGCTTGGATCGGAGAGGTATCGAAAATATACGTACCTTCAGTTTGGCAGCAGAGCTTTTCTGCCAGATCCTCGTCATCCTCGGAGAGCGTCCTGGGGTCGTGACTCCTATGTGTTACGTTCTCCTGCCGAGTAAAGCTGAAGAGAGGTATTGCAAGGTAAGTCGCTCATCATTCGGGAAGGTCATTGACATTGTATGAGCCACGGGAAGGTCGAATTGTGTAGTAGAATAATAACTCTAACCCTCCATTTCTCGTTCAAGATGCTCGACATGTTGACCTTGGGATGGCCGAACTTCAGTCCGGGAGCCATATCGATGGACTACGAAAAAGCTCTGATAAACGCTTTCAGTGCGTATTTCCCGACAGCCGATATACACGGTTGTTTTTTCCATCTCGTACAGAGTATGAAAAAGCAACTCACTGCCAATGGTTCGAGCAGCAAGTATCGGAGCGAAGCAGATTTCGCGCTCAAAGCTAAAATGATCGCCGCAGTGGCTTTCATCCCACCGGAGCGTCTTGGAGATTCGCTGAGGGAGCTGCGGGAAGAGCTGCCTCATGATCTGCAGACGATCCTCGATTATTTTGAGGATATCTATATCGGACGGCTACGAGTGAGGAGCGATGGATCTTCGGGGCGCCGGGGACCCTTGTTCCCGGTGTCTATATGAGTTGTCTACGGCAGGACCTTGAATGGCGATTCTCGAACCAACAACTCCGCTGAAGCAGCGCACCGAAGCCGGCAGCGACGATTCTAGGTTCAGCATCCTGGTCTCCTAAAATTCATCGAAGGAATCAGAATTGCTCAGAAAACAAATGACGCTGATCTGGAAAGATATATCGCCGGGCACGAAATCACAGGGAAGCGAAACAAGTACGGGGAGAACGATGGCCGCATCTTGAGAACCCTTGAAAGGATGGATTACCGCCTGTTGCGGGAGGTTTCGATCTTCGATCGATCGCTCCCTCCGATGAAGTTCACCCCATCGTAGCCTCCGAGCTGAGGTCGATCGCAGCCCAGTCGACGCCGCGGCCCAGTTGACGCGTGGCCCGGTCGACGTCGTGGCTTAGCTGACGTCGCGGCTCAGTTGACGCCGAGGCCCAGTTGACGTGCGCGGCGAAGGAATCGTACTTGCGGTATCGTTTTGCTGCTATGTCCCTCGGAAACAAAATTTTCTCCAGCTACGATCAAATTTTGGAGGCCAAGAAGGAATGCTTCCCCGACGGGACGCCAAGGTTGATCCCCAAGAACTAATGGACCACACCACAAGCCGATCTTATGTCCATACCAGCCGGCCTCCGGCCGGCTGGAGCCGGCTGTCTTTTCGGCTTGCGTTCCAGCATCATTTGTGAGCTCATGCTACGGAGACTGAGGATTTGAGTCGGGAAATTCACCCTCCACTCTATAAAATAGAAGCGCAAGCGCTCCGTCGATATATTTATTGGATTGAGTTGCGAAAATGTCATATATGTCACCATCAGCGAGTCATATATGTCCCCATCAGCGATGACCAAATTCGAACAAAGAGAAATTTGTGCCTTTCGAACCACAATCGGACCAAGCGTACCTACCCAAGTACCACAGGGTACCACATGAGACATGAGTGTCGGAGTCGAAACGAAGGGTTTTTCGACAATCAGTAGGCGGGGAGGGGGAAATGAGAACATTCTGGGGACATTCTCTCGGAATCGGGCCAGAAAGACCCGAACATCAGCGAGAACGAAAGCGATTGCGGCGGTTTGTCGCGCCACCGGAGCCACCACAATCGGAGCAAAGCGTACCTTAGTACCACATAGTACCACATGAGTTCCGTGGTCAAATATGAGGGTTTTTTGACAATCACTGGGCGGGGGGCCGTTGGATAAGAAAAAAAACATCAACTTGCACACCGGGGGATCATTCTGCAACCGCCAAACTACATAAGCGCCGAAGTTGGCGAGGAGAAAGAGCCGAAAAACGGCTCACAAACGAAGCGCTTACGCTTTTATTCTATAGGGGGGATAGGGGGGATCTGAGCCGACTTCCGGAGTCCCATCGAATCTTATTCTCTCAACGAGAAGGGGGATGTGATGGTGCTTCCGGCCAGAGTCAATACAGGCAAAGATTCTCCGACAGATCCCTCTCGGACGGCAGTCTCTTTGCGACTTCAGTGGTGCCACTAGAATTGAAGGACATTTCGACGGGTATTGTCGTTTGGAAAAATCCGAGCCCATCTGAGACTATGCCGGTCCCAGAAATTCCTCTCCGCTAAGGAGTCCGCGAACTTGGTGAAGAGCGAAGTGGCTGATACACGGAGAGAAATCGAAAAACTTCGTGCATCGGTGGTCACAGTAGCTGAGAAACTCTTCCGCATAGAGCACAGTTTCATCCTCTCCATGATCGACGGAAAGGTCGCCAATGCGCTCCTAAACAACAGAGCGACTCCTGTGTGTGTGATATGTGGTGCCGAGCCGGAGAACATGAACGATCTAGCCAAAGTTCGAGCTAGCTCACTCAAGACAGAAGCATTGCACTCCGGAATCCTCCCGCTCTACGCGAAAATCAATGCGATGGATGTTTGATCAAAGTCGCGAGTAGCCTGGAATTGAAGAGAAGGCGCTGCGAGAAGGAAGACCAAAGAAAACGAGAGGAACGCTTGCGGGCGATTTGGGGTGAATTTAGAATTTAAGGCCGAACTTGGTTCGATCATTTCTGTCGTTCGACCAGGTGGAGGCATCAGAAATGATGGTAATAATGGTAATACCGCGCGGAAGCTCTTCAGAAACCCTGCTGAGACGGCCAGGACCACTCGTGTTTAGACTTTAGACCCAGACTTGGTCTACAGACTGCACATAATCGGAGGTATGGGGGCATCACAAAAAATGTTGGCTGGGGGCTTTAAGGGGTGGACCTTGTCAACGAGAGAACCGGAAAAAAACGTTATGTTCACCTTGAAAATTTAAATCTTCTTCCTCGTCTGCCGCAAATTATTGTCTCATTGTCTGAATATCGGTTAGATCGTTCGATTCCGCACTGGATCGGTTCTTTGCGAGAAAGAGACGAAGCATTTTTCGAGGAGAGATCGGCGCTTTTGAGAATCGGCCGCTAGCTCGCTTAGGAAAAGTCGCAGGGAAAATCTGCTCGGAGCGAAAAGATGCGCAATTCACACAGCTTTCCAACGCCGAGAAATCCGAAATCGGTTCAGCCGTTTAGCCGCAACCGCCGATTCAGTGGAAGGAATCCATTTTTGGGGTCTCGAGGTTCTTACCCGGACCCGGTGATTATCTCAAAAGTTGCCTCCTAGGCCAAATAACCCCTCAGAGAAATTTCAAGGAAATCGGTGCAGTCCTTCAGAAGTTATGATTCTCCGAGATTTCCGACCACTGTCTGACAGGGCAGGTCGGACTCGATTCACAGAGGAGCCCTTACTGAGGTCTGAGTCTGACTGAGATGATTTATTATCATTCGCTATTTTTCCGGGTCAGATCTCCGAATATTAATGGAGGCGTTAAGGGTCCAGTCTCGAGGTACCTTGAGTCTCTGGACGGCTGCACCCGTAGGAGGCCGTCGTTCGCGGCTTGAAAACCTTCTGTCAATTAACATTAAGAGATCATTCGGAGAAAGCATTGAAATACTCGCGCCTCGGCGCATTCCAATCACCCCCTCACTCTCAATAAAAACAGAGTTGATCGAACCACGTTACGCATCGTCACTCTCCTACTGTGCGACGCTAAAAATTCATAAAAGTAAGCGTACGACTACTCAAGACCAAGAAATAACATGGTGCCGTGACCAGGATCGAATCGTGCCTACGTGGGGAACTGAATTTCATCAACGTCAACCGCAAATCCCCCACGATGACTGAAAGAACTCAACACAACGCAGACAACCTGTCCGATCAAACGGTCCAGCAGAAAGTTCTCGACGAGAAGACCATAAAGAAAGCACTCAAGAGAGCCCGATACAACAGAACGGTTCTTCGCAACCAAGTGAGAACGGAGATTTCCTCAATAAGAAACTTGGGTTCGAGTACGCCGGAATTTCTCGCTGACCGTGGTCCGGGAATCGTTCTCGCTGTCATCGGCGAGCTCAGGGCAAAAATTAATGCCTGGGATGACGAGATCTGGAACCTACTCGATGACGACGGTCAGCAGGAGAAAGAATTGGCTGAGGCGTCTCAGTTCGACCTGGAGATCTCGGAGTCTGTTGCGAAGATAACGGTAAATCTCCCTCAGCAAGACAGCAGCGGGGAGGCAGAAACCTTCTATTCGACCCCGTGTGCAAAAAGAAGAGTCCGTTTCGGATCGGTGCTCAACCAGACGGCGGGCAAAGCCAGTGCTGATCAGCGAGCGTCGGAGCCGATCGAGGAAAAATCCCCGGTCAGTCAACAGATTCCGTCGTCGGTGGTTGCTAGACTTCCGCGCGAACTCGACATCTCGCCTGAAACGTTCTCCGGTGACCGTCTAAAATTTCGTTCGTTCATCACACAATTTCGGTGCTTCGTAAACAAGAGACCTGATGCCGCACCGATAGAGAAACTCATGATTCTTCGAAAATATCTCAGAGATGAGCCGAAGCAAATCGTGGAAGCGCTCGAGCTCACGGATGCGAATTACGAGGTCGCACTGACGTTACTTGAGAACAATTACTCCCGTATCGAGACCGAGACCCAGAAGATTCTCACTGATCTGCGCAGTCTACCCCGGATCACGAGACCTTACGACTTCACCTGTGTTCGGAAATTCTTGACACTCGTGCAAGGGCATACTGCAATCCTTGCCGCAAACGGGATTCCGATGGCAAGTTACGCGTTGACATTGAAATCGTCGATGGAAGCGGCAATGCCACCTCGAATGCGGCAAGACTTCAGGGACGAGCGCAGATTAGAGGAAAAATTCCTGCCTGTTAACGAGACCCGTCCTGGGTCCTCTTCCGGTCTCCCTGCGAATGGCATCGATCAGATCGTCGTTGATGTCGAGAAGATGTTAGTTTTCCTACGACGTCGCGTTCAAGACCTAGAGGATAGCAAATATTTGGACGCTGCCATGAGCTCACAAACGCTCGAGAACAGGGCAGCTGAGGACCGGAGGAAACAACCGA